CCTCACTAGTTTGTAAATAAAATGACGGACGTTTAAAAACACAATTTCGTGCGATTTTTGTCAAGTTTCCTACCAATGTCTATCACATAATCATCTATGAAATAACGAACAGCTGTTTGGATCAAGATTATTTTTTCTAACTGTCACTGATATGTTTACATTAAATGTCGTTTACAAATACCGCAAACATTTCCGATCACGTTTTGAAAGCAAAAACCAAACCAAGTGAGATTAAAAACAGTTTTCCTTACATAAAGGATTTAATTAATCGCAAGTTCAATAATGTGTATTGTAACCTTACATGAAATTAAAGATTCTTTGTGTATAAAATTTTTCTGAAGTTTTGATAACCGGGAAAAAACCTTAAATCAGCGTTGTATAAGGCTGGGAAACTTGGATTTATTAAATCATCGTCACCAATAGCTACTAACAAGGTTTCCACTCATTGACGGCATTTCAATGGCGGTTCTGTAAAGTGTATATAGTGAAAAATCACAACTGCAGTGACTGATTGTAACAGAGGTTTACGGATGATGTTAAACTCGCTTTTCCAATGTGCCACTTTCGGTTTCTACTCGCCCCTATGTGCTGCAATCGCTGGACCATACAGCCAATAAATAGGCCCATAACGGTCTTTTGCCCTCAGCAGCCATATGCAGGATGCAAACCTGCACTCTGGTTCATCGGGTACTGGTCAAAAAAGAACCAGCTTACCTGATGGAAAGACTGGTCTCCCGCGATCGGGTGTCTCGGTGCAATACTCGACAGAACAAGCAGTTTCAATTCCCGAGAGTGAGGCTGGAGATTGGCAGGAGAGGCTTTTCTTACTTTGGGCCCAAGTTGTATAACAACCTCCCCTGTGATCTTAAGTTGCTGGGTGTTCCAGCTTTCAGAAATAAAATAAAAGAAATGTATACAGCTGTGAATAAAGGACCTCACATTTTTTAAATAGATTAAAATAGAAATGTAAATAGAATTTTGTGCTCGTATATATACTTTCTGATTAGATTATACTTTCTGTTTTTAGTTTTATCTAGTATTAGTAAATTGACAAGAGTTATCCTGTAAAGCAGTATGGACTGAGGAACGCTTGCTAAATAAAGGCATTTTTGATTTGATTTGATAACCTGTATCTTGGGTACGTAGGCCTACCCAATTATTCATAAAAACCTATTCGACGACGATCCTTGACACCGGTACTTTTCTCTAGAATACATGACCTACCTACTTAGGAAATAAAATTAAAAACTTTAAAAACCCAACATTGTGTGATTTTTCATATTTCCTTCTAATGTTTACTACATATACCAAACATCGTTTAGAGGATATGTCATCTACTAAATAACAAAAAGTTGTTTGGATAAGGTTGTTTTGTTCAAAATGTCACCGATATGTTTACATTAAAAGTTGTTTACAAATAATGCAATTAATGGGAAATAACCTTGAATTCTGATAATTTTTTGTGAGAAAATCCAAAACCAAGAGAGATCAATAACCTCGGGACTTGATTAACGCATTTAATTTGGATGTACTATAGTTCTTAACTACTATAAATGTTGGTTTTTGGTACTGGTTATTTCCTTAAGTGGTAGCAGCAAGAATCATTTTTACATACCAACACATCACTATTTACAAATTAGTTTTCGTTGGTGTTGCATCTTATTTATTACAGTCGTATTCAATTTAATTGAGTTTTGCTTTTTGTGTCTGTGTTCCAAAATATGAGTTTACCAATCTAAATCGTCTTTAGTACTTCATTTCATATAGTAAGCCGTCATTTTGACAGCATTTTGGGTCATCTTCGGACTAAGCAAATATAAATTGTTTTGATAAAATTTTATGACACTAACAAAGATTTCAAATACTAATTTAATATTTACTTTGCCATGGCTAAAGCGTAGCAAATTCCCTAGTTAAATTCTGATTTTTATTTGTATGTCTGTTGTTAACACATTAATGTCCTTATTTCTCAGTGTTATTGGAAAGGACAAGAGAACCTTTGATAATGAAAATGTCAACCGGAATAAAGTGTTTAATGGTGAGGTTGTGGTAGTATTTTAACTAATTTTAATCGGCCTACCTTAGGGCTATGTCTCATAGATCTATAAAGCATTTTTTAGTTTATTCATTTGATATAACATGGACCAACACGATACGGGTGACATTTAATTGTGGTGAATTTGTTTTGGCTTGAAACTGTCAGATACTATATTTGTGAAGGTTTATAAATAATATTTTTGCCAGCATACCTGAAAATATGCAAACCAACTGCTGTTCTTAATATAAGAAGGTTTCAACTAACTACTATAAGATCCCCGTGCGTAGAACGGGCATGCAGCTAGTAATTAATAAGACTACATTTTGTTTAGTGAATGTAGGAAATAGAATGTTATTTTTTATATTGTTACTCACCCAAAGGTCCTTTTCAATCCTAATGCTTGCGACCACACGGGCGTTTGTTTCATGTACAAACGCAGTGTGAAAACATGCAAAAAATATGAGCAGCATCAAATTTAATGGGGAATGCCACACACAGTGTGTTTTCCCGCAGTAAAGAGCAAAAATCTTAAGCACGGAATCCTGTCATTCACAACGGATCACTAGTATTTCAGTTTTTGGTGATGACAGTCGCCCAAAATGTGGGAATGAAATGAGATGAAAATGCTTCTTTATTGATGGTGAGGTAGCCTCTGGATTTTTAAATTTAGGCTAAAGCCGGGTTTTCCTAGGCGCGGAAGTGGAGAGCGGAGAGAGGAACGCTTGTCCTAGGTAATTTAATGTTACTGTTTTCCTAGAAGCGGAGCGGAAACCATATTAATCTATTTTCCGATCTCCACATTCCTCTCTCCGCTTCCGCGCCTAGAAAAAACCCAGCTTACATGGTTTACGTTACCTGGCTTCGTCAAGTGATCCTGCTTCAGTAGTTTACTACTATAGTTTCAGACTTAAAGTCCATCTTCAGTTAGGAACAAAAACGTCAATAAGTCATTTAACCAAATTGGTTGGATTTGTCGTTAAACTTAGAACACATACACGAACACGAAAAAACAAAAAAAGCAAATACAATACTGGCCCCCGTGATTACTGGCCAGTTTTTTACAGTATTATATGTGTTTTTTGTGTTTTTTTTTGTGTTTCATGTCTTACGACAGTCTGCTTAGACTCGAAATGCCAGACGAGACCTGCCTCGTTGGCTACGCCGACGACGTCGCTGCTCTGGTTGCAGGCAGAACCGTTGAAGAAGCAGAGCTTAAACTTGGTATAGTGATGCTCCGTGTCAACGAGTGGATGCCAAACGTCGGCGGCCCCCGCTCCTGCAAACGCCGCATACTGATGTCTGCCGTCCAATCAGTACTCTTTTACGGCGCTGAAATCTGGGCCCACGTGCTGGAGAGGCGTGTCTTCCGTGACAGAACCACGGCTTATCGTTGGTGGTTGAAAAAACAGAGATCGTGATCCTAACCAAGAAAAGAATTCCCACCGTCCTTCCTTTGCAAGTAGGCCATGCCCAATTGGAGACCAAGCCATATGCCAAATACCTTGGTGTTATGATTGACAGCAAAATGTCTTTCGGCGAGCAGATAAAGCGAACTGTTGACAAAGCCGCTAAGGGAGTTGTTGCCCTTAGTAGGCTTATGCCAAACGTCGGCGGCCCCCCCGCTCCTGCAAACGCCGCATACTGGTGTCTGCCGTCCAATCAGTACTCTTGTACGGCACTGAAATCTGGGCCCACGTGCTGGAGAGGCGTGTCTTCCGTGACAGGCTCTCCCGTGTTCAGCGTCGAGGTGCCTTGCGAGATGCTTCCGCTTACCGCACGGTTTCCGAGCCTGCAGTCATGGTGATTGCCAGTGTCATCCCCGTCTTTCATCTCACGAGGGAGCGACAGGCGATCTACCGCAGGAGACCTGAAGTAGATAGAGAGACTGCTGCCAGAGAAGAACGCAACCGGAGTTTCGACCGCTGGCAGCGTGAATGGGAAGCCGAGTCTCGGGGACGTTGGACCGCCAGGCTCATTCCTAGCATCCGACCATGGGTGGAACGGGAGCATGGTGAGGTTGGGTACTACTTGACTCAATTTTTTTTGGGTCACGGGTACTTTCGGGCCTTTTTGCACAGAATGGGGAAGGCTGCCAGCTCAGACTGCATGTACTGTCCAGGCATTGCAGACACGGCTGAGCATACCTTCTTCTTCTGCGACAGGTGGCATGTCCGCCGAGCCTCCTTGATCTCCGAGATCGGCGTCGACATTACTCCCGACAACATCGTTGGAGCTATGATACAGGGAGAAGGAAACTGGAACTGTGTAAAGCAGTTCGTCGAAGCCATACTTCGGGATAAGAAGGTCGACCTCGATCGGCCTTAGTTTTCTGAGGAAACCAGAAGGAAAGCCCTAGGGGCGTAGTGTAAAAGGCCTAGCCCGAAGTAATGTGCGAAACAGTTCCAGGCTAGTGTCCTAGGAGACGAGGGGGTTTTTTAGCCGGTAGTCCGGGGACAATGAGCCCGCGGGAGTCCGGCACTACTGAGTGGCCATTAAACACCTCAGTGTGCGTAAATGCATTTTTACCTCCTCCCCATAAAAAAAAAAAATAAAAAATAATAACAATAATAATAATAATAATACAACATATCATGAACAATAGTAAATTATAAATTTCATAACATAAGAAAAAATAAAATAACATAATATACATTTCTTCTTTTCCCTAGCATACAGTCAAAGTGTCACACACACATACACTCTTTGCTTCACTTAGGCCTAATGCACGCCATCCCGCCAAGCCACAACTATCCGGTTAAGGAAATAATCTTTCAGCGTCCCCTTCAGTCAGGATGGCTCATCATCATACTGAACTTTTAGTTTACCTTTTGCTTTAGTGATGAGTGAGTCAGTCAGTCAGTGAGGGCTTTGCATTTTAAAGGTGTAAGGTAGATCCCTTCAAAGTGTGTGTTTAATCAGAGTACATTAGAAGTAAATCCAATGTGTATGTTTTGTTTTAAAGGCTCCTGATGCAGTGGACGTGCTTAATACCGAGATGATAGTCCACTGTAAAGAGAAGATGAGTTCAGGCAACAGAGAGCTGTTCACTGACTGCATGGCTGCAGTCAAGACGTTCTTGGCTGGAGAACCATTCTCTCAGTTCCTGGAGTCCATGTACTTCCACCGGTACTTGCAGTGGAAATGGCTTGAAAGGTACATTTTATAATAGAAATGTTTACCTATACGCAGGGTGTCTACCAACCGGGAAATCCGGGAAAACCGGGAATTGTACTTAAATTTTTACTGGCCATGAAATGTACGGGAATTGTCCTTAAATTTTTAATGGGCCATAATTTTATTGATCGCTAGTTGGTTAGGAGCACATAAAAGGTTTATCAGATGTTTGTTTACATTTTAATAATTTATTACCAGAGTAATTATGCAATAAAAATCCCATTAGCAATCTCAAACCCATTAATATTTTATCACGACAATCAAGTGTCAAGTCAAGTACTTCCAAGAACTGTTGACTCAGCAGCTATCTCATAAAAGTTGTATCACTTTTATTCCTTTACAACTTCTTTTTTTATTACTAGGGTAATTATTATTAGATCCCAAACCTATTTTGTGAAAATAATAGCTTTAAAATGGCAGACCAGATATTTATCATGAAAGAGCTGGCCTCAAAATACTGGGAATATAACAAAGATCTATATGTTCTGTTTATTGATTTTAAGAAAGCTTATGATAGCATTACAAGATCAAAACTATGGTCAATATTAAGAAAAAGTAATGTTCCAGAAAAGATTATAAGGTTGACAAAGATGTGTGTGGAGGGTTCAAGAGGTAAAGTTAGGATAGAGAGAGAACTTACAGACACTTTTGACATCAATACTGGGGTAAGACAAGGAGATGGACTGTCTCCTCTTCTGTTCAACTTTGCCCTTGAAGACGCCTTGAAAGCAACCAGATCTATTCAGTTGGGTGCGAATATTGAAGGACAAATCAATGTACTGGCTTTTGCCGATGATGTAGCCTTATTGGCTGAAAAGAAAAATGACCTAAAAGTATTAGCTGAAGCCTTTATAACAGAAGCAGGAAAGGTAGGGTTACAAGTGAATGAAGATAAAACAAAATTTATGAAGATAGGAAGGCAGGCAGAACATGTGACCTCAACACTGGAATGTTTGAGTTATAAATTTTCTGTCATAGAAGAATTTAAATATTTGGGTGTGATAATAAACAGCCAGAATAAGATGGATCAGGAAATACAAGCTAGATTGAATGGAGCTGATAGATGCTATTGGAGCTTATCAAAACTTTTGAAAAGCAGACTCCTGTCAAGAAACACCAAGGTTCGAATATATCTGGCAATAATCCAACCTGTTCTTCTCTACGGTTCGGAAGTATGGACCCTCACAAAGAACATAGAGAGAAAATTAATAACTTTTGAGAATAAAATACTGAGGAGAATATACAGACCAACTTTGGAAGATGGGGCGTGGAGGATTAGAAAGAATAAAGAGTTAAGGGACCTTTATAAAAGACCTGATATTGTAGCTTTAATTAGAAGTAGGAGAGTCAGATGGCTTGTGCATGTTAGAAGAAGAGAAGAATGCAGCAGTATAAGAAGAGTGTGGAGGGGAAAGCCTGAAGGAAGACGCCCACTGGGGAGACCGAGATTTAGATGGGATGACCAGGTTGCTGAAGACATCGGAAGACTGGGCGCAGAGTTGGACGAGGTAGAAGATAGAGAAAGATGGAGGCACCTTGTTGGCGAGGCCAAAAATCTCCTTGGATTTGTGTGGCCACAGGAGTTAGAGTAAGAGTAAGTAAGGTGTTTGATAATATTGTATTGTATTATTTATTTCTTATTTCAATTAATGAATCGAACATGATGTTAGCGGCGAAGTTTCTTTGGTCATTTAGTATGAGGGATGGGTCTGATTTGGTAGCGTTATATATATGAAAATGTTCTATTGTATTTAGCTTGTTACTTTTGGGGGCTTTATGTAAGATCTCTAAGTTGGCATCTATTGAGGTGTAGGAATGGTTTTCTGAAATTAGATGTTCGGAATAGGTTGATGAGCTGACTGAGTTCTTTTTAGGGAGATGTTCTTTAAAACGCTGGCGGAAACTTCTGCCCGTTTGTCCAATATAAAATTTGGGGCAAGAGCCACAAGTTAATTTGTAGACCCCCGTACCTTCGTAGTTGTCTACAGTTGTCACTTGCTTTTTATTTAGCAAGCTCCCGAGGTTGTTAGTCGATCTGTAGGCAACTTTGAGTCCCTGTTCTTCTAAGATTTTATGGAATGAATTGTTTATTTTTCCGTGGTAGGTTGTAGTCACAAATTCTTTATTAGCTTTGGGCTCTTGTTTTCTTTGGTTTCGTTTGTTTCATTAAAATCTTTGAGATAAGGGTTGGGTGATAACCATTGTTAACAGCTATTTGTTTAATGATGTTCATCTCTTTATTGTAGTTCTCTTCATTAAGTGGGACATTTGTAAGCCTATATATCATACTATGGAATGCTGCGAGTTTGTGTTGGGTTGGATGGTTTGAATGGGCATGTATTACGTGGTCTGTGGCAGTTGGTTTTCTATAAATATTAAAGCTGAAGTTGTTTTTTGTTCTGGTAATGGTTAAATCTAGGTAGTTAAGGGATTTTTTCAGATTCTATTTCTAGGGTGAACTTTAGTTTTGAGTGGACGTTGTTCATGTATTTCAGAAGGACATCGAGTTGTCTTTTATTGCCTTGGAATGCGACTATGATGTCGTCAGCATATCTGTGGTATTCTAATATTTTAGTGGTATGTCTGTTCTTTTCATCATTCAGGATTTCGGAATTTTCAATGTGGTTTAGGAATATTTCGGACATTACTGCTGATAGGGGAGAACCCATGGCTAGACCTGTGTTTTGGGAAAAGAATTCGTTATTATATTCGAAGTAGTTTTGTTCCAGGACTGTTTCTATTAGATTCGTGAGGTCGTTGATATAGGCGGTGTCTCTAATTCCCTGTTGTACTAGATTTTCTCTAAGTATTTCAATTGTTTCTTTTATAGGTATGTTTGTGTAGAGGTTCTTTACATCAAATGATGCTAGCAAAGCTGTTTCAGGAATTTTGTTGTTTTTTAGTTTATCTATCAAATCTAGCGAGTTTTTTAGGGATCTATCATTGCTCAGTTTCAGTTTTATTTCTTGACGGATTATTCTGTCAAGTAGTTTTGAGAGTCTGTAGGATGGAGAATTTATGGAGTTTACCAGTGGTCTAATAGGTTCTCCAGGTTTGTGGAGTTTCGGTAGTCCTCTGAATTTTGGAGCATTTGGTTTGATTGTTCTGCAGTGAAATTTTTGATTGTCTGCTAATATTGTCGATTTGTTGATGACTTTTTTTATGCGTTCGTGGAAGGATTTTGTTGGATCTGACTGTAACTTTATAATGTTGTTTTCATCGAAGAAACTCGTTATTTTATTATGGTGATCATTATTGTTTACTATTACCACTGTGTTTCCTTTATCTGCCTTTGTTATAGTTGCGTTTGATTCGTGAAGTTTGGTTTTTATGTTATTCAAAGTTTGGAGTTGAGATCGTGCTGTTTTGTTTTTTGGTTTTTTAATGTGTTTCATCAATTTATTGTGAGTGAGGATTCTGGTTTGATTTTGGGTTTCTTTAGGTAGAGTTTGGATGGTTGACTCGAAATCTATTATAAGGTTGGAGTCATTGTTTTGGGGAATACTGTGTTTCAAGCCTTTGTTAAGGAGGTCTTTTTCGTCATCGTTAAAAGCTATTTCAGTTTTGTTTATTAGTCGTGGATAGAATTCATGATCTGAGAATTGTTGTGATGAATCAGGTTTTTGGCTACGTAGCAGTTTTTCAAGTTTTTTGTTTTGAATATTTTGCTTTCCTTTTATTTTGTTTTTAAGCCAAACGTCAATGTTTTCTAGGAGGGATTCTATTTCTATAAAATCCAGACATTTGAAAAGTTCTAGGTGTAGTTTAGCTAGTTCAGTGTTTAGATGATGAGTTTTTCTGTAGAGTGAATTTATTTCGTTGCCTAGCCAAGTTTTTTCAGCTGCTTTTTTGGCTAGTTGAGCTGATTCTGATTTGTTGTTTATTTTTACCTGGATGTAATTTGGTATGATTTGGTTGTCTTTGCAGTATTTATTGTATTTGATGTCCTCTAGGGTTGTATATATTCCTGTCGAAATTGATTTTGTTAACTGGTTCATTTCATCCAAGACTTTGTTTTGATATAATTAAATCTAAGGCTTACCTTACGATCCAATTTTTTATATAGTGGAGACCTAGGTTTCTACGTCGAAACGTTATCGTCAGTCCTTTGTCTCATAGGTTAGCTAAACTTCTTGTTTGCTATCTCTTGCTTGAGATATTGTCGATTTGGTATAATTTACACACACATTGATCACAAATAAATATTTACAAAGACATAAATGGAAACAACATTGATACATGGCCATGATCTCGTCTTTATCAAACCTAACCTCCGAAGTTGGGATGTGCCGGTGTGATGACATTCGCTTCTAGCAGCATGGTCTTATCACTCCATAGAGTTGTATTTTTTGCAAACTGGTGTTTGATAATATTGTATTGTATTATTTATTTCTTATTTCAATTAATGAATCGAACATGATGTTAGTGGCGAAGTTTCTTTGGTCATTTAGTATGAGGGATGGGTCTGATTTGGTAGCGTTATATATATGAAAATGTTCTATTGTATTTAGCTTGTTACTTTTGGGGGCTTTATGTAAGATCTCTAAGTTGGCATCTATTGAGGTGTAGGAATGGTTTTCTGAAATTAGATGTTCGGAATAGGTTGATGAGCTGACTGAGTTCTTTTTAGGGAGATGTTCTTTAAAACGCTGGCGGAAACTTCTGCCCGTTTTTTCTCTCTATGTTCTTTGTGAGGGTCCATACTTCCGAACCGTAGAGAAGAACAGGTTGGATTATTGCCAGATATATTCGAACCTTGGTGTTTCTTGACAGGAGTCTGCTTTTCAAAAGTTTTGATAAGCTCCAATAGCATCTATCAGCTCCATTCAATCTAGCTTGTATTTCCTGATCCATCTTATTCTGGCTGTTTATTATCACACCCAAATATTTAAATTCTTCTGTGACAGAAAATTTATAACTCAAACATTCCAGTGTTGAGGTCACATGTTCTGCCTGCCTTCCTATCTTCATAAATTTTG